AAACAAAACACTAGCTGGGTGTGATATTGCATGATTTCAGTTCTAGGACTTGGGAGGAAGAGACAGAAGGATAATTACAAATTCAAGGCCACCCTGGTCTATATAGTGAGTTCTAGGCCAGCTAAGGCTACATAGTGAGACTTGTCTCAATCCCCACCAAATAAAACAAATTTACTAGTATATATTTACTGTATGAAGGGCTACGTTTTGTGACATTTTTGTTCAAGAATATCACATACTTGAACCATATTCACCCCATTATCCTCTCTGGTGCCCATGCTGTTCTGGTTGTTTGTCTCAAATAGTATCCTTTCTACTTTCATAAAGTATGGTTCTTATTTTAAATTTAATTTCATTTTATGTGAATGGTTGTTTTCCCTGAGTGTATGTCTGTGCACTACTTGTGTGCCTGGTACACATAGAGGCCAGAAGAGGGCATCAGATCCCCCGGAACTAGAGTCACAATGAGTTGCCATGCAGGTGCTAGAAATCTAACCCAGGTCCTCTGAAAGAGCAGCTGGTGCTCTTAACTGCTGAGCCATCTCTTCTTCATGCCTTCATATCCCCCCTCCTTTTTTTTTTTTTTTTCAAAATAGACTCTTTCTGTGTAGCTCAGCCTGGCCTCAAAGCTGTTTTTGTTTGTTTGGTTGGTTGGTTGGTTGTGTTTCAAGACAGGGTTTTTCTGTGTAGTTTTGGTGCCTGTCCTGGATCTCGCTCTGCCTCCCAAGTGCTGGGATTAAAGGCATGCACCACCACTGCCCGGCCTGGCCTCAAAGTTTTAATGATCCTTTTACCTCGGCCTCCCCAGTGCTGAGACAGTAGGCACATGCTTCCACTGCCTGGCACTCTACATTCCTTCATCAGACAGATTCAGGTGCAACAGAGCTCTATTGAGTTCATTTGTAAGTTCTCCCTTGGTATCCTCAGGATGCCTTGTAGACACTGGTCATTGACAGCACACTGATGCAGCTGGTCTCCTGTTCTTAGTGGGCACAGCACTTTTTGTCTCTTTCTTCATTTAGTTGCCACAATAAGCCAAGATTGTTGAGAGTCTGGGTCCTTGTCTTCATTTCATACTTGAGGACAGAAAGGATGAGTTGGGAGCCAGCCTAGGGCTTTGTCTGGAAGCTGTATTTGCACTTGTGTTTCCACCGAGCTTTGTTGTTTCTTTTTAAATGTGACTTTGGGGAAAGTGATAGGAATTAGAGAGGAATATGGGGTTATAGAGTCTGCAAGTCATCTTCTCCCTCCACTAATGATTCTTAATGTCCCACCTTGGGTAAGATGGCACTTGAAAGGCTGGGGACCTGGAGGAGATTCAGGTGGTAATGATGGCTGAGAGAGTCATGGCTGTGCAGGGAGGGAATAACAAAAATCCTGGCAGTGATGACAGTGCACGGAATGCCACAGCAAACATGCAGATTGATGCTAAGTGGTTTCAAAAGGGATGTGATAACTGTCTATGGAAATCTGAAGGGTGAATGATGAATTAACCTTTAGAAGAGTGATAGAGCCCAAGGCGAGATTGTCATCAGTCTCCAAACCATCTTGGCTCTGACAGCACTTTCAAAGTCAAGATCTCCCAAGACTAGAGTGTCAGTGGTCCTCATGCACACATCAAGCTTGACTTAGGCCTGGCCTGAGGATTCTGTTTGTGTCCTCTTGTGGAGTGGATACGTGTCAGGCACATGCGCAGAAGTAATACTCACAGCTGGCATTTTGTGAGTTCCTGGTGTTATGGGTTTGTCTTACTCTTCTATTGCTGTGATATAACATCATAACCCAGACAACTCGTAAAAGAAAGGGTTTTTATTGGGCTTACAGTTCCAGAGAGTTAGCGTTTATGACGGCAGAGTAAAGGCGTGGTGGTAGATGGCTGAAGCAGCAGTTGGAGGCTCACATCTTTTTATTTATTTATTTTAATTAATTTTTGTTTGTTTCTGTTTGTGTGTATGCATCTGAATGCAGTTGCGGGTGGAGGCCAGAGACATCAGATTCCCTGGGACCTGGAGTTAAAGGTGGTAGTGAGTCACCAACATGGGTGCTGGGAACAGAACTCAGGTCCTCTGGAAAAGAAGGAAGTTCTCCTAGCTACTGAGCCATTCCTTCAGCTGCAGAGAGCTCATATCTTGGTCCACAAACAGGAAGCAGAGAACACATGGAATGTGTTAACAGTCTTCTGAAACCTCAAAGCCTGGCCCCAGTGACACACCCCCATCAACAAGGTCACATCTCAGAACAGTTCTACCAACTGGGGACCAGGTATTTAAACATATGAGTCTATGGGTGCCGTGTTTATTCAGCTACCAGACTGAACTGTCATCTTCCTGCACAGACATGAAGTCCCAATTATGCCACTGTATATGTAACCTTATTTGAAAGTAGGGTCTTTATGGATGTAATCAAGTAAAAATGAGGTCATGAAAGTAGGCTCTTAGTCACCATAGTTTGTGTCCTTATAAGGACAAGGGAATGGAGGACTGAAGAGATGGCCCAGTGACTAAGTGCTTTCTGGGCAAGTATGGGGACCTGAGTGTGAATCCTAGCACCCATGTAAAGAGCCAGTCATGGCTACATATGACAGGGGCTCCAGCATTGGAGGTGTGGACAGAGACAGGCAGATTCTAGGAACTGCCTTGTTGAAACAGCAAGACAATGGCTGATTCAGTAAGAAACCTCAACTCAATGCAATAAGGGAGAGTGTCTTAGATAGGGTTTCTATCGCTGTGAAGAGACACCATGACCATGGCAACTCTTATAAAGGAAAGCATTTAATTAGGTGACTTACAGTTCATTGGTTTAATTCATTATCATCATGGCAGGGAGCCTAGTGTTAGGCAGGCAGACATGGTGCTGGAGAGGTAGCTGAGAGTTCTACATTTTGCACAGGCAACAGGAAGTGGTCTGTCTCTGAGTGGCTTGAGCATATATGAGATCTCAAAGCCTGCCTCCACAGTGACACACTTCCTCCTACAAGGCCACACTTCCTATTAGCGCCCCTCCCTTTGGGGGCCATTTTCTTTCAAACTACCACAGAGAGCAATAGAGGAAGAACTCCCCATGTCTTATTCTGGCCTCTTCATGTACACACAGGTGCACCAACTCACATGCATGTATATGTGTGTCTGGTGCATGCATGTGAGCATGCACCTATGTGCACCATGTAGCAACAGAGAAGATTAGCACTGTAAGCCAATGGTTATCGAAGACTGGTGACTTTACCAGAAGCTAAGAGAGACAGAGGTCTTTCCTATAGGCTCATGGGAAGTGCCTTAGTTCCTTCAAGCTGCTGTAAAAATAGCAAGGATAGGGGACTTAGGAACAACTGAACTGATTTCTTAGTTTGGAGACCAGGAAGTACAAGATTAAGGGACCAGCAATTTCCATGTCTAGTGAGACCAAGCACCTCATAGTTGAAGGAAGGGGACAACAAGCTTCCTGGGCCTCTTAAATGAAGTCACTAGTCACCGCCATTCTTAGAATCACTAACAAAAGCTTTCAATGTGTGAATCTGGGGTTGGGAGGGGAGAGGGTTGAGACGGGGTCTCCATATTCAGCCTAGGTTGCCTCAAACTGTTGTTTTTGTTTGTTTTGTTGTTTGAGACAGGGTCTCACTTATGTAGCCCTGGCCCATTTGGAACTCTCTATGTAGTTCAGTCTGGCCCCAAACTAAGAGATCTGCCTGTCTTTGCCTCCTGAGTGCTGGGATTAAAGATGGGTCCCAAGTGATGGGACTATGGATGTACACCACCTAGCCTTCACAGCCTCAGCCGCAAGTGAACTGTGTGTGACATTTCTAGCCTTCAGCGTGATCATTTTATGACTTCGTTCGTCATTTGTGTGAATATCCTAGCCTCTTTTCTCCACTGAGCTTTCTTTGCTGCTCCCTGCATTCTTAGGCAAAGGAGACAATAGTCCGGTTCTCTAACATGCCACCAGAGGGCGCTGCCCGCGGGGGACACTGGAGCAGCGAGCTGATCTATTAGCCTCAGTTAACTTTGGTTCTTGAAAGTAACCCAAATTCAGGCACGAAGACGGACAGAATTTTCCACTCCAGCCAGGAGAATCTTGGTATTAAAAGGCTTTCCAAGCTTTCTCACAAGAAGACAAAAAGGGATACAAATAGGGGTTGGAGAGATGGCTCAGATGGCTTAAGAATACTGGTTTAAGGTCCTGAGTTCAATTCCCAGCAACCACATGGTGGCTCACAACCATCTGTAGTAAGATCTGATGGTGTGCAGGCGTATGTGTATATATAAAATGAATAAATCAATCTAGACTTTTCATGGCAAACAGTGGGTCATCTGGAGGCTCGCTACACTCCCCAGGCAGAGGGTACAGACTGGAGTCCACACTTCCAATTAGGTGGCAGCCCAGCCCAGCCCCACTGAATCGTGCCTACTCAGCAAGACTTCGCTCAAGGTTACAGTTCACAGTATTGGGACAGCTCAGACCCCTGCTGCATCTTCTACGCCCAGGAATCCGGGGGAAAGGCCCTATAGGTCACAGACCCAGCGCAAAGGGTGCTCAGAGAGGACCTTCCAGGAGCGACCCGGGTTCCTAGACAGGTATAGGGCGGGGTAGCCGGGGTGGGGGTGGGGCGCAGCGGGTCCTCGGGACACAAAGTCCTCTCCAGGGTCACCGCAGGGTTCCCGCTTCCAAGTCATGGTCTCGGTCTCGGTGCCAGCCAACCAGACACTGGGGCGGGGTGGCTGCGGGGGAGTAAGGAGCTCGCTCCTGCGCCCTGAGGGTCCTTCCCCAAGCCCGGCCCAGCTTGGGGACCCGGACCCGCGGGGACCCAGAGCAACGGCGACCCGGAAGGTCCGCGGAGCCGGAAGGCGGGAGGGCGGAGCCAGGGCGGCCGTGGCCTGTGAGCTCCTCTCTGGCGCTAGCAGAGCGGAGCCGGCAGAGCGGAGCGGGCTTCTTGTCCCGGCGGTCCCAGCCACCAGCACGGTAAAGGTGCGCTCAGGGAAGCTAGGGTCTGCGGAGCACTCCACGGTGTCGGGCACACTGCTGTTCGTCTTCATGCAAGGAACTGAGGCCTAAGCTGAAGCACTGAGGTTACCAGCTCCGCGCAAAGCCAGCGTCAGCACGGGTGTGCGGGAGGGCGCGTGCGCAGTGCCGGGAGGGGACCTGAGCACTAGCTTGGAGATAGTCAGGAAGGGATGTCAGGGGCTCAGAAGGCCAGATTAGTTGGAGTTGTGGTTGAGAAGCGTTCTGCTATGACTAAGTAAGTAGATAAGGTGCATGTAGGCAGGGGTGGAGTCCCAGGCAGAGGGCATTGCGCTGCGGAGTGCACGAGTGCCTGGTGTCAGCCCCTGGCCAGCCCAGTCTGAGAGCTATATAGTGAACCTACCACTGACGCCTTCTCATCTTTCAACTTCTGATTTCTGAACTGTCAGCCCTCCTACCATATCCTTTGCAGCACGTGTGCCAGCACGCCCTCGATGTCTTCTTATTTTTAAATACCAACCGTCAAGTAATTTAAAAACAACTTTGTGTGGTGGAAGAACTGGATGATGAACTTTACAGAGGCCAGATTGCAAACTGGAGTCTGTAAATTCCAGAAAGGGGAACAAGATAGTGACTTCTGGCCAAGGGCCTGTTCTCCATTCACTTTCTGTTTCGTTTCTCCCCAACACACATCGGGAATTGGAATCCCAGCTTTGTCTAATATTGAGGTCCCTGTTAGCTCTGAAGCCTTCTCCCTTGTCCCTCACAACTTAATTGAATTCAAATCAGGCTGCTGTCCAAAGGTTTGACTTTTCACCTCCTCTGTGTATGTCCAGAGCCCTGCTGTCATCTTCCCACTAGTCAGAGCTCTGTGTTAGTATCTGCCTTCCCTATGGCTGGCAGGTGGACTTCCAGTGATCAGGACCTGGTTTGAGGACAGCATTATTGAAATAGTTGTACTACTGTGGAAAGACCCTGTCTCCTGCATCTTCATCTCTCCCCGTCACTTACAGACACAGGTGGCCCTGGGCTGGGAGAAGGAACAGGGCATGTTTCCTTTCAATTTCTTGAGCCTGAAGAATGAAGGAAATGAAACGCTTTCACAGGGACTCAGGAGCCGGGGTCACAATCCTTTCTTTCACAACAAATGCCTGTTGCTGCTGTAACTTCTGATGTTATTCTTCCAGAAATTTAAACCAGCCTTGCCTTGCAGCCACAGACTGCAGAAGCCCAGCTGGAGTGGAGCTTTCCTTGCCCAGCTCCCCTGCTCCCTGGCACATGCTAAAGAGCCTAGCTTGTCCTCTTGCACTGACTTAGCTGGGCTGGGTGGAGATTGGGAACAACATGTGCATGTTGGTACCTTATCTGCTCCATGGGTTTTGACTTAAAGTTATCCAGAACAGGTTTGGAGGTGCCTCTGAGTAGATAATCGAGGGTGAAATGGGTCGGTACATTAGCCTGCTCCCCTTGGCCACAGTTTTACCTTCTGTAGTTTCAGCTAACTGCAGCCAAATATTAGGTGAAAATTTTCAGAAATAATCAATTCATGAGTTTTAAATACCTAGTAAGTTTTAAATCATGGGTTTTCTAAGTAGTTAGAAATTTCATTCTGTCTAAATAGTGTCATGAAATTTCATGCAACCCTGCTCCATTCTGCCTAGGATGTGAATCTTCCCTTTGTCCAGTATATTCACAGGGTATACCCTACCCACATGCTAGTCACTCAGTAGCCCTCAGCTGTCACATTGTGGGTGCCCAGTGCTTGTGCTCAAGTAATTTCGTTTTACTTAATAAAGGCTCCAAAACTTGAGAGTTACAATGCAAAGGAACCAGGGCATAAAAGCTGGAAGAACAGATTAATCAAGCTTATAGGCATCTACTGATGTCTCAGAATGTATTCTTTATGGATGGGGGGGGCGCCACTGTATGCATCTCTGCCCTGCCTCTTTCACATGCATTGTCTTGTTATGCAAAAACCATTTTGAGAGTACAAGTCCATTATTCTGCAGAGAAATGATATGTGGAGTGGATTCTGCTTGCTGATGCTGCAGGACTGGAATGGCACAAGCCTTTTGCTTCTGGGGGCTGGAACACAGCATACTTCTTTCTCTTGGGAGTGTTCAGGAGTTCTGAAAAATAGCCTTTGTGACAATGTGGTGGTTCCATGGGTTCCTTAAAGGGCTCCCAGAGCCAAAAGGGCAATTTTACATTGAGAGATTCTGATTCTGCATACTTCTTGGACATAGAGAGAAATCAACCCACTGACCAAAGCCCAGTATAACCCAAGGCTGTTGACAGTAGCCCAGGATTTCATCACCAAGGTCCCTTACCTGACAGGTCCCTCAGCCTCATGGGAACAGGAAGTGTGGGAGTCTTCTAGAAGTGTCAGTTCTGCTGCCTTTTCTCCCCAACCTTGTGAAGTGGTCTGTCAGTGTGTGGACTCTCCTTACCCACCAGTCCCTCTGTAGGGCACAGTGCACCTTACCTATGGCTACGCCTCTGCCTATCACTTCCCAGCTGGCATGGCAATGTGTCCTGATTCTAGCAAGTTGTTTACAATCATTGTTCTTAAGGGCTCTCTGTCTATCATTTCATGTACCTTGCAAGCCCCTGGAAGTCTCTTGTTATTTTGAGACAGGGTCTTGCTCTGTAGTGCAGGCAAACCTGGATCTTACTATGTAACCCAGGCTGGCCTCAGACTTGTCCTGACCTTTCTTCTACTTCCTAAATGCTGAAATTGCAGCCGTGAGTGAGCCACTATGCCAGTTGCCAAGCCCCCAGAAATCTGATTTATTTTGTTTTGTGATGGCTTCATCTTGGTAAATCATATTATTCCTGGTTTTCTTTATTTTTAATTAACAAGTCATTATTTTATTTTGGCAGAAAGTCTAGCTATCTAATCCATGCTGGCCATGGGTTTATGACTCCCCTGCTCTAGCTTCCCCAGTATTGAGAGAATAGCCTGTGCTAACACACCTAGGTCTTGTCTCTGCTCATAATGTCTCAACAGGGTCTGCAGTGCCCTCGGCTCTTCTCAGTCAGTCATTCTGCATCCCTTCTATGTACCCCTTACAAGGTCCACCCTCTTTTTTTCACTGGGGCTCAAAGTCAGAGCATTTTTCATAAAGAACTACATTTTCAGCCCCATTTTAATTCTATTTTAAAGCTAAGTATCCATCTAACTCCTGGCTCTGGGTTACCCAGCAGGCACATGCCAGTGTGGCCTCAGAATCTTGTCCATTTCCCCCCTTTCTGGCTTGGCTCAGATACCTTGTCACATGCAAGAGGCCATATGGCTGGGAATTTCCTGTCCCTGCCAGACTTTTTATGTTGAAGGTTGCGAGGAGCCACTTGAAAGGCTGTTGGTGTGAGAGAGGTCAGGCTTGGCTGCTGGAGGACTGGTAAAGCCTGTGGCTGAGGCTGCTTCCTCGTTTGTCAGGGGAATCAGAGGGCAGAAAAGACCTTTCATCCACTCTGCTGCTCCCATTTACTTGTTAGCTGATGCCCAGCTTCTTGGCGACAGAGGGCTGTGTGCCCGTCTGGCATGCACACGGCCAAGCAACTCTTCTTTCCAGAAGGTGGATGCTCTTCCGAAGATGTTAGAAAGTGATACATTTGGGTCAAAATACTCATAAACTCATTAAAATTCTCCTGTTCAGCCATAGAGTACAATGGTGCTCTGCCTGGTATCCCGAGGCAAAAGCCTGAGGCAGAAGGATTATGGTCTGGAGTGTGTAGCAAGACATTATCTCAAAATAAATGAATAAACTAAATAGATTGGTCTGGAGTATGTAGCAAGGAAGGCCTTATCTCAAAAATAAACAAAGTAAAACAAACATAAAAAAAATGGGGGCTGGAGAGAAGACTCAGGCTAAGAGCACTGGCTGCCCTTTTAGAGGACCTGGGCTTGTTTACCAGCACCTGCATGTTATCTCACAACTGTCTGTAACTCCAGTTCCAGGGGATCACTGGCCTCCAAGGGCACTGCACACATGTGGTACACAGGCATACATGCAGCAGAACATCTGTATACAGTTTTTTGTTTTTTGTTTTATTTTTAAGTACACAATTGAGCAAACACTAAAACCACTTATCTCTTTGAATCGTCTTTTAAGGTCTGACAAGATGCCCATCTTGGTAGATGACATCATGAAGCTTCTGTGCTCCATTTCCCAGGAGAGGAAAATGAAGGCAGCTGTCAAGCACTCTGGGAGGGGTGCCTTGGTTGCGGGGACAGTGGCCTTTGTCGGTGGTTTGGTTGGTGGCCCACCAGGAATTGCTGTTGGTGAGTGGGGGTGTCTTCACATGTATAGCCAGCCTTGGTTCAGGCCTATAATCCCTGCCCTGGGGAGGCAGGAACATGGAGAGTTCAAGGATAGCCTAGGCTACATAGTATGTTCCAGGCTTCTGGCATGCTTGAGGAACCACAGGGAAGAATGACCTGGTAAGTAAGAATGGTACCTACCACATACCCCATGTGGGGAGTTTCTAAGGCCCAGTTGCTTCTGTGTGTAGTATGTTCTGTCAGAACCACAGTTTCCATGTGATACAGGTTTCCCTTGACCTTAGTGTTTGAATCTGTTAGACCTGGGAGGCACCTTTCCTCCAGGAACCCTTTCCCTAGAGATATGTCCTTGAGTATAAAGGTATTGAGGTGTCTGGGTCTCCAGATGTCTCCTCCATATGTCACTGTTACCATGTTACCTGAGAAGGGAGCCAGAGAAACTACATTTGCCAAGTTCCTTCTATGATGAGTTGCTCACAGTATGACTGTGTCTTAGTTTGCTTTCTATTGATGTGAGAAAATACCATGACTAAAAGCGACTTGGAGAGGGAAGGGTTTATTACAGCTTATAGTCCATTATGAAGAAAAGTCAGGGTGGGAACTCAAGGCAGGAACTGAAGCAAAAGCTATAGAACGCTGCTCGCTCACTCTGCTTGCTTTCTCCTGAGATGGCCACCACGGACTGTTCGATACAGTTTAGCTGGCATCCCCACCACAGGATGGGCACCTGCCATGTGCACTGGGTCTTTACTGACTTCTGTTGTGTGCTGACAGCCTAGGGGACAGTCCTTCCTTGACCCCAGTCTTCTAGAAGCTTTTGCTAGGTGATTTTCAATCCTCACATGGTAACAGACTGGGCAGAGGGAATATCTTTAGCATTGAGTGTTTCCCTGCTTGCTGACAAGTGTGTCCACCCCTCCCACCCCCAGCAGAACATTACATTATATGAAAGCAGCATTTCATGGAAATGGAAATGCATGGATGGCCCAAACCTTCACCTTTTGTGTTTCCAAATTCTGTGAATTCAGGAGTCCGGACTTCAGCTTCTTCCCACAAAAGGAGAAGACAAGCTCATTTCTTGTTTCCCTAGTGACACTCTTGCATTCCCACTCCTCGCTAAGTGCCCAGGGGAAGCCTGATTGGGGCTAGTTTATTACATAGCTGTGTGCTGTCTCTGTTGTGGGAGACCATGTTTTATTCACATTGAGTAATGGCAGATAGTAGAATATGTAGGGACTCACTGCTTCTGGCCCCTGGTCATGGGTGGTTGCTTCATTTCCCATGAAAAACACAGGAATTCTCCTTTGTGCATCGATGTCCTGATAACCCTCTACGTTATGTGCTGTTGTAAATCAAATATTGGTGTTCTGTGAAGAGTTAATGCAGATGTGTGTAGTACAGTCAGCTCAAGAGGCTCACTGGTGTCAGGAGGAAAAGTTCAGTCAAACTTGTGGGCGAACTGGTTTTCCTTCCCTGGAATGCCTCTTTTTTTTAGAGATTGGCTCCCTCCCCCCTGCCCCCCCAACAGTATTGGGAGCTAGAGGAGCTATCTGCTTCCAGGGCAACCCTGCTTGGATTCAGAAAACATGGGTGTCACTCTCTGTCTTCTGAGTCCAGCCTACAAGTGGGTTCTCACTAAACTGTGTTGTCTGTTTACTTAATTAAATATTTATAAGGTTATTTATGTATATGGATGTTTTGCTTGTCCATGCACTATATGCATGCAATACTCACTGAGGCCAGAAGAGGGCATCAGGTTCTTTGAAACTAGAGTTAAGGATGGTGTGAGCCTCTATGTGGGTGCTGGAAATCAAACATCAACTCTCAGCAAGAGCAGCCAGTGCCCTGCTCTTAAGCACCAAGCCAACTCTCCAGTCCCACCCACTTTTTTGAGCTATGATCTTTGTACCTCAGGCTGGTCTGAAACTATGTATTCCAGATTGGACCTCAAAACTGAGATCCTAATGCCTCAGCCTCCAGAGTGCTGGAATTACAATCATGGAGTCCCAAGCATTAAAACAAACATTTCATCTTGGAATACTATTATATACATGTAGAAGTTGCAAAGATTGTACAGAAAACCCCCATGTATCCCTCTCCCACATTAGTTGCAGTGTTTCATGGGAATGTGTTTCATGGTACGCTGTGGGGACCAAGCAGCCATCACTAATGCAGTCCTGTGAGCCATTTCTGTTTGACCAGACCTTGCACAATGGCCTTGTTTTTCTTAAAGTTGCCACTTTTTTTTTTTCTTCAAATTTTGAGACAAGGTCTTATTATGTAGCACTAGCTGTCCTAGAACTCACTATGCAGACCAGGCTGGTCTCAAAGTCACAAAGATCCCCTTGCCTCTGTCTCCCAAGTGCTGGGATTAAAGGAATGCACCACCACACCCAGCTGACACTTTGTTTTAATGACCCCATTTTCCTTAGTCTCTTCTGGCATGTGACAGTTTCTTAGGCTTTCCTTTTCATAGTTGGTGGTGGGGGAGTGGTTGTCAGGTGTTTGATAAAATTCTTAGTTGTATGATGTGCTTCTCATGAGTCTTGGGAGGGAGCACCTCAGAGGTGACATGTCTTCTTTATCAGTCCAGGGGTACATGGCATCCTGTGGCATCTCCAGTGAGGCTGACCGTGGCAGCTTGGTCAAGGTCATATATGCTGTTTTTTTTTCCACTCTAAAGTTTCTGTTTCTCATCCCATATTCTGTTCTTTAGAAATGACTCACTAAGTCCAGCCAGGCTCATCTATGACTATGTGATCGTTGACACATACAATTCATGGGATGCTTTAAAGATGCAGATCTGATGTCCCCAGTGGCAGCAACTGGTTGACATACAACAGCAGGTGTTCCTTCAGGCAGGAACCTAGCTTCCCAGACCACCACAGACCCTTCTGCCCTCTCTACCACTTGTTATTTTGAGAAAGAGTCTTACTATTTAGTCTTGGCTGTCTTGGAACTCACTCTGTAGACCAGGCTGGCCTCCAACTCACACAGATCCACCTGCCTCTGCCTCTCAAGTGCTGGGATTAAGAGTGTGCCACTAAACCCAATGTTCTTCTCATCACTTTAGATCACTTAACCTGGTCCTTGAAGGTTCTTTAGTTTGACACCTCTGCCCCTAGAGCACCTCCCCTCACCTTGTGTCATGCAACACATGGCCTGGGGACATGGAATTTTCCATCCTACAAGATCTTCAGGTTCCATAACAGCTTGACTTAACTTTGGCCAGAAAGTTACATTTAAAAACAGTATTTCTTTCCCTGCAGCGGTGGCTCATGCCTTAATCCCAGCACTGGGGAGCCAGGCGGATCTCTGTGAATTTGAGGCCAGCCTGGTCTACAGAGTGAGATCCAGGACAGGCACCAAAACTACATGGAGAAACTTTGTCTCAAAAAGCCAAAAAAAACAAACAAACAAAAAAACCCCACCAATATGTCTAAACTGGGCAGTGGTCATCCACACCTTTAATCCCAGCATTTAAGAGACAGAGGCAGGTGGATCTCTGTGAGTCTGAAGCTAACCTGCTCTACAGAGTGAGTTCCAGGACTGCCAGGGCTGTACAGAGAAACCCTGTCTTGAAAAAAAAAATTACAAGTAAAAACTGAAAACAATGTTTCTATCTGAGGATGTATCTCAGTGTTAGAGTACTTAGCTGGAACTCTTGAGTCACCCTCCTACTCCCACCCTACAATATCAAGCAACTGGAAAAAATGAAAGCGGAAATCTAAAAATAGTGTTTCTAGCTGGGCTTGGTGACTGGCACACACTTGTGATTCTCAGCTGAGGCAGGAGGAGCAAGAGTTCTAGGCTACCCTGGGCTAAGCAATAAGACTTTGTCGCTAAAAAGCAAAGCAAGAGAAGGTAAAAGTGTTTCCACTTTTGGAAAGAGAAGTAGTAATTATATTAGCTTTTGTCTTGTTTTTATTTTTATTTTTTATTTTTTTTTATTTATTTATTTTTTTTTTGGTTTTTCGAGACAGAGTTTCTCTGTGTAGCTTTGCGCCTTTCCTGGGACTCACTTGGTAGCCCAGGCTGGCCTCGAACTCACAGAGATCCGCCTGGCTCTGCCTCCCGAGTGCTGGGATTAAAGGCGTGCGCCACCACCGCCCGGCCTTGTTTTTATTTTTGAAAAATGGAATCAAAGGCAGTCTCCAAGAGAAACAACTGGCTTACCTCCAGGGTCATTTCCCATGTGAGTTCTCTGGGAATTTACTAAGCTCAAGGGTGTGTTTCTTATCAGCCACTGATTTTTTTTTTTATCGACTTGAGACAAGCTTGAGTTATTTTGGAAGGGGGAACCTCAATTGAGAAAATACCCCCACTAGACTGGCCTGTGGGCAAGCTTGTGGTACATTGTCTTGATGATGATTGGAAGAGCTTGGCTCATTGTGGACTGTGCCATTCCTGAGCTGCTGGTTCTGGGTGTTTTAAGAAAGCAGACTGAGCAAGCCAATAAGCAGCACCTCTCCATGGCCTCTGCATCAGCTCCTGCATCCAGGTTCCTGCCCTGTTTGAATTAGTTCCTGCCCTGACTTCTCTCAATGATCCAGTGTGACCTGAGAGTTGTAAGATGAAATAAACCCTTTCCTCCCCAAGTTGTTTATTGTCATGGAAACAGCTCAACCTCTCTGCTTCTCCAGGCAAGTGGTTTGCCAGAAGACTGACTTCCCTCTCAGCCCTTCCTTTGTGGAGACAGATTGTTCTGGGAGTCGCAGAGATGGGAGTGTTCAGTGAGGTGGGGAGGGTGTAAGTGGAGGTCATGGGGAGGGACATGCATGGGTGCCAATTACTTGGGCCAAATGGACTAGAGACCGCATAAACCTTTGCCCTGCTGACTGCCTGGCAGAAACTGAGCTTGCTGTGACCTGCTCATGAATGTGCCCACTTGTCATGACAGAGGCTACATTCTCCGCAAGAAACCAAGGCCATTGTTGGAGAATGAGGCTCACTAATTGAGCCTTTCCTTGTTTTCCAGGGGGGACTGTTGGGGGCCTGTTAGGTGCCTGGATGACGAGTGGACAGTTTAAGCCGGTTCCTCAGATCTTAATGGAGCTGCCCCCTGCCGAACAGCAGAAACTTGTTAACGAAGCCACGGCCATCATCAGGAACTTGGACTGGACAGATGCTGTACAGCTCACTGCTCTGGTCATGAGCAACCAGGCCATGCAGCAGAAGCTCTTGGCCATGCTCACCACCTATGTCACCAAGGAGCTGCAGGCCGAGATCCGCTATGATGACTAGGCTGCTCCCCCTGGGGGATGGGCTTTCACTTGGATGATTCTATGGCTCCTAGAAGGTGACCAGGGAATGGAGGATGCCTGGCAGGTACCTCTGCACATCATTAGCATTGACTGTATGCTGGAGTACAAGTACATCCTGTTGGACTGTCCCCTGCTGAAGAGGCTTTGGCCATGTGACATGGGCTGTATGTGTTATGGAAAGGTACAGGCTGTTGGCATCCACAAACAGCTTGGGAGTCCTCTTGATCCTGTAGGTCTAAAAGAAGTTCTCTTATATTTTTGGTTGTGAGCCTTTAACGGCTGAGCCATCTCTCCAGCCCAAGAAGTTCTCTTGTTGGCTGGCCAACTGTGCTGGATGATCTTCTTCCTGTGAAGGTACCTCTAAGTATCTGTCACAGGATTGGACCCCCTTAGGCTCTAGGGTCTTGGGGTTTAGAGCCAGCTCTTGCCAGGATTGTGCTTACCTGCTGAGTGTTCCCCTTCTTCACCCAGGGACTTCCCAGTGGTCTCACGATGACAGTGGTTCCTACTTTGAGTGAAGCCACAGATACCAGGCAGTCTCCATACTCCACCCTCCACCATTGTTTATGCCCAGGGTCTCTTGAGTAACTCTGGTTAAGCTTCTAGAGTCTTTTGTCTTCTTATGTAAAATCATGGCACTTATTTATCTTTTACTTTTATTGCCAATTCTGGACCCTTTTTATTCTCTACACTTTTTTTTTTTTTTTTTTGGTTTTTTGAGACAGGGTTTCTCTGTGTAGTTTTGCGCCTTTCCTGGAACTTGCTCTGTAGACCAGGCTGGCCTCGAACTCACAGAAATCCGCCTGCCTCTGCCTCCCGAGTGCTGGGATTAAAGGCGTGCGCCACCACCGCCTGGCAACTTTTGTAGTCTAAGTTAATTAAACTCCATTTCTTACTATGTTACCTGGGCTGGCCTTAGACTCTTGGGCTCAAGTAATCTTGCCACATAGCTGGGACTGTAGGCTTGTGCCATCATACCCAGCTTTACCTCAAAGACTGTTCTGCACGCCACTTTATCTAAGTTAGTTCTTCCATGCTCTCTATCCCAGCTCAGTTTCCTCTGGGCACTGGCTGCAGTCTACAATTTACTTGTATGAAAAGACAAAATTAACAATGAATCCAGTTCAAAGATCCTGACTGAGCTAGGTGCTGTGATGCACACACTCACAGTCCCAGAGAAGTGAAAGGCCAAAGCGAGAGTGTCATTGAGCTCAGGAATTCAAGACCAACCTGGATAACATAGAGGAGGCCAGGAGATAGAAGGTGGGGACATCCCTCACCACCTTACTTGGCTTTCATTTGCAGTCACAGAATGGAGATGCAGTGAATGTTCTGATGTGCTAGAGAGAGGAGGCTGACAGAGGAGGCCAAGGGAAAGCAGAAACAAAAGCATTAAGGTTAATTAACCCACGGGTAGGCAAGCACCTTATCGCCCTGGATGAAACTGTCTGTTTAGGGATTTGACTAGCCTTTCCTAGATTTCCCCAAGTGACAAAGGCTCAAACCTGACAAGTAGCTGGTTTGGTATTTTTTTTTTCTTGTGGTGCTGTGGATGGAACCCAGGATCTTGCATAAGCTTGGTAAATACCACCAGTGAGCCCTGCTCCCAGCTCTCCTGTGGTAGAGCCAAGGCAAGTGCTGTCTGTACTGCTAAGCCTGGTCCCAGCCCTTGAGGGGCTCAATTTTGGTTTGGCTTGGCCAATTGGTCCTAGTGCTGGAGCTCAACCAATGATACCATATACATTTTATTAAACATTTGATACTTCTTTTTATCCCCTATTGGAGATGTACACTCAGGGAGGGAAGGAGCTGTATGTCTTTTTTTTTTTTTTTTTTTTTTTTTTTTTTTTTTTTTGGTTTTTCGAGACAGGGTTTCTCTGTGTAGCTTTGCACCTTTCCTGGAACTCACTCTGTAGCCAAGGCTGGTCTCGAACTCACAGAGATCCACCTGGCTCTGCCTTGTGAGTGCTGGGAATAAAGGCGTGCGCCATCACCGCCTGGCTGAGCTGTATGTCTTGATCACCCCTCCAATCTCCAGCTTGTTTCTGCTTGGGACCATGGCTTTTATGGGGTGGACCCTCAATAAATATTTATTTTTTAAAGCTATATACTTTATGTCTTTCTGCTTTATTTATTTGTTTATTTATTTTACTTGGTTTGTCTGCATTTATGTAAGCACAGTATGTATGTGTGTGATTCCCACAGAGGCCAGAAGGGGACACTGGACCTCCTAGAACTGGAGTTACTGACAGTAGTAAGCTGTCATATGGGAGCTGGAAACTGAACCCAGGCTAAACCATCTCCCTACCTCTAAGCGTTGTTTTTTCAAAACAGGGTTGTTTTTCTATGTGGTTCTGCTTGGCTTCAAACTCATGATCCTCCTGTCCCAGGCTCTTGAGCCATGAGATTACAGGCAAGCACCACCAAGCCAAGATCTATAAGATCTATAATATTTTTTTTTTTGCTAGAAGTCTTTAAATTCTTATTGTTTCTGTTTTATTATTTTGAGACAAGATCTCATGTAGCCCAGGCTGGCCTCCAGTTCTTTGTAAAGCCAAAGATAACCCTGAACTCTTGATCCTTCTTCCTCTACACCCACTAAAGGTTGGGATTATTGGGGTATACCCCTATGCCAGGCTTCAGTAAATATTTTGGGGAACCATTGTTTTGAAATCACTTGCTATGGAACTTCTCCAGGAAGAAAATGTGACAAAGGAAACCTGGAATCAAGTTTCAAGCTTCTTTAAGCCCCTGAGCTACTAACCGTAGAAGCCAGAGCTTGGTCTGGTGTCCCTAGAACCTAGAGCCCTCTGTCAAACACAACATGGGAGCCCCCCAGTTTTCACGAACAAGTTTTGAGACATGTTTTCCACATGGAATATTTTTAGTAAGATGTATGCTGTCTCTGAAGTGTCGGGGGAGGGGTTGTCCCAACCATGGACAAACAATATTTCTACCCCCAGGTCTTCCCTGATGTTATCTCTTTTCTGCTTTCAAAACTACAACCCGAATGTCATCAAATTACTAATAAATTACTTTCCCCTGAAAAGCCATTTTCCATGTATTTTGTGTAAACCACTTTTGAGAATTGAAACTTTAACATAAAAGGGAAGGTTATTTGACTTGTGACTTTATAGGTGGGTAAAAGCTGCCCAGCCCAGCTCCTGATGACTAACAGCTGACTCAGGCCAGCTTCAGCCATGTTGCTGCATGTCATGCTTAGCCCCCTCCAGCCGTCTCTGCCCAAGTCTGGTGCCTGGGACCCAGATTCTGTTCATGGCTACAGCCCAGAATTTCCGCAGAGAGGTGGGTGCTGGACTGAGGGCCAGCTGAGAGTGCAGCCCCTTTGCATGTGTTAAGGAAGCCTCCTGTGGACTTCACCCCCTGGGGATAGAGGGGGCAGAGCCTTTGTATCAGAGTGCCTTAGCTGGCACTGGTCAGATGCTGTAGCCCAGGTGCTACCTAGAGCTCATGGAGTCAGAGACTGGGCACAGGGCAGGGCTGGGAGCGGATGCTGTCTTTGGAGAGACTATGGCTGTTCTGGTTCAACCGACACTTTCTGTTCTTCCTGTTAAACAGTAAGTGACCCTCAAGGCCCCTTGAACTAGAAGTCTAAGTCAGGACCACACCCCCAGTTGCTACAGCTTCACTGGGCTCCAAAGTTGCCCTTTTAGTGTAGAGGTGAAGACATTGGTTGGCAGATGCATGGCAATGAAACCGCAATTAAGATTTTTTTTTTGTCCACTGCTTCAGGTTAGGGGATACTTTCTTATTTTATTATTTTGATCAGTGCCTCACTGTATTGCTATACAGTCAGGCTGTGGAACTCAATAATCCTCCTCCCTCAGCCTCCCAAGTGCTGTGAGTGGAGGCATGTGCCCCATTTTGAACAGTATGTCAAATTCTGTAATTGCTTACACTCATGCATTTAGAAAAGTCAGGTTGTAATAGAATTCCATTCGTTGGGCAGTTGGACCTACCCTTCCATGCTCCTGCAGGAGGTCCCACTGTGTGCCTGATGGAGCAGCCCTTAAGTGAGGGCACCTTGACAGCCAGTCTTGCTGTGACTCAGTGGCACCAGGCCCAGCAGGGTACCTCCTACTGTCCTTTCCAGAGCTGAAAGCATTTTCCTGGATTTCCTTGGTGATTGCTTCTCCTGATCTAAAAGTATTTGTAGCCCTGTATCTTTTTTTGTTAAACTTTATTTTGAGTAGCCTGGCACAAAATTTAAAGGGAGCCAGAGGAGGTAAACTGTGAAAGAAAGCAGCCTGGATAGACTCATGACCAGCCACTGTTACCAGTTTCATTTATGTTTAGCTCTCCTGGGTTTGCCTTGATTTGGTTGGTTTGATTTAGTTTAGTTTAGGGTTATTTTTGAGACAGGGCCTCATTGTGTAGTTAGAGGCTATCCTCAAACTCATGATCCTCCTGCCTCAGCCACCAGAATATTAAGATCACAGGCATGTGCTGCCTTTAACTCTGTTTTTAAAAACAGTTCTTAGAAATTACTCATTTCCTTTCATTTGTCAATGATTTTTGCTGAAAACTTAGGAAAATCCAGAAAAGTGTATTACTTCCGCCTCAGTGGCATGCACCAACAAATTCATATTCCTTTTAAAAATGTATATATTTATTTGTGCCTGTATGGGTGTTTTGCCTGCATGTATGTCTGTGTATAGGTGTGCCTGATGTCCACATATGCCAGAAGAGGGCATCAGATTTCCTGGAACTGGAATAACGGACAGTTGTAAACTACCATAGGGGTGCTGGGAATTGAACCTGTGTCCTTTGGAAGAACAGGGCTCTTAACCACTGAGCCATTTCTCTAGCCCAACTTCATATTTTTTAAGGTAATTTCAAACTCCTTGGAAATACTGACAATGGTTATACAGTATCCTTTATATCATAGCATTGGGTGGGGGGTGTCTTTTAGGCAAGTTCTTATCAAAGCATTGCAATGAATATGCTTTTGTTACTATCTCCATAATTTGGATTTTGATAGTCTTTGGATTATGACAGATTCCTCCGGAGGGAAATGGCTGGATTTAAAATATGTTGTTCAGTCAAAATTTCTCATTAATTTATCCTCCAAGGTTTGGCATGCAGATCTTGTGGCATCCTCTCCGGCATACCGGCTATCTGTTTAATCTGGGTCCAGGCCTCCCTGGTTGAGAAGGGGCTCCCTGCAGGGCTGTGTCGCCACCAGTAGCTGGTGGCAGCAGGTGGCAGGGCTCATGCGGGAGTGTGACACCCACCTGCTCCCGCTGGGGAGGAGGCAAAGGGGAGCAAGCCGAGGTGGGGACCCAGTAATTATAAAAAGCGGCCATCTGCTCGGAGGCTGGTTATTAACCTGCATCGGGTGCTGACGTGACAGCGCCAGAGATTTTTTTTTTCCACAGGCAGATGGTGTATTTTCAGCTAGACTTGACTTTGATTCTGTGTTTGGAGATGCAGCCGGAGCCTGGAAGGAAGTGCGCCGGGAGTGATGCAGGGCACTGTGGCTAAGGATGAAAGGCAGAGGTCTTGTGGCCAAGGATGCAGGATCAAGGAAGGAGGCAGGGAGGCTAGAGCCGGCTGCGACTACTCAGCGGAGATTATGAGGCGCCATCTAGCGGCCAAACGCCCACTTTTCCTCAGCTCGGATCTCAGTGCCCTCTCGTGGTCACCGTTCAAAGCCCAGGATGCCGCCACATTGGGGTCTGGTTTATGAGCTGGGGTGCAGAGGGCTTGAGGACTTCCTGAGGTTTTAATTAGCCTAGAGCAGAACATGGGCTGGGTCTCCTGCAGTCTTTTTTGCATACAAAACCGGATGTTCTCCATTCTAAGCAATCAACATATGGCGATTAAGAAATGCCAGGATTCATCTCATCCTGGGTCTGTCTGGTGTCTCCAGTTTGTTGGGAGGAGACAAGTGGCTTCATTAGCCAGAAGAGGCTTCTGAGGCCGTTATGATAATGGTGGCTCAGAAGGCTGGATTCTGGCTTGGCTAGCTGAATCACAGCCTCAAGGTTAGCTCTGGCTAGCCCCATTCTTGGCAGATGCAGTAGGGAAAAGGTGTTTTTCTGCTATTGATGTGATAGCCATTTGTCCTATTATTTTGAATTTAAAAATTTTTCACCTTTTCACTTTTTTTTGTTTTTATTTTTTAGAGACAAGGTTTCTCTGTGTAGTTTTGGTGCCTGTCCTGGATCTCGTTCTGTAGACCAGGTTGCCCTCAAACTCACAGAGATCGGCCTGGCTCTGCCTCCCAAGTGTTGGGATTAAAGGTGTGTGCCAGTACTGCCTGGACCTTTTACTATTTTTTAAGACTTTATTTTTATGTGTATGAGTGTTTTGCTCACATGTATGTCTGTGTCTTATGCATTCTGGAACTAGAGTTATGGTTGGTTATGAGCTGCTATGTGGATGCTGGGAATTGAACTTAGGTCCTCTGCAAAAACAAGGGCTTTTAACTGCTGAGCCATCTCTCCAGTCCCCTTAACTTTTACTTTAAAAAAATATTTAGTTTCGTTAGGTGCAGTGGCACATACCTTGAATCCCAGCACTCTGGAAGCAGAGGCAGGCAGATCTCCGAGTTTGAGGCCAGCTTGGTCTACAGAGTGAGTTCCAGGACTTCTGGGGATATACAATGAGACCCTGTAACAAATAATGCAATATGAATCAATAATAACAAATATAATTTTATATATACGTATTTAAAGGTTTATTTTCATTTTTAGTTGTGTGTGCTTACTGATGTCTGTGTATGTGTACAAAATTCATGAGCCCTTGGGAAGGACACATGAGAAGGCATCAGATCCCCTGGAACTGGAGTTACAGATGGTTTGAGCTGCCATTTGGGTGCTAAGAATTGAACCTGGAAGAGCAGCCAGTGCTCTTTACCCTCAGCACCTATGATTGATTGATTGATTGAGACAGGTCTCATTATGTAGCCTGCTTGGCTTGGAACTCACTACATAATCCAAGCTGGCCTTGAGCTCACAGAAGTCCTCCTACCTCTGCCTCCTGTATGCTGGGATTAACAGTATGGACCACCATACCCAGCATAACTGCATTTTATTTTAAAAGTAAGAATAATGAGCCAGTGAGATAGGTCAGTGGGTAAA